CATAGGTTTGACAGAGAGAAGAGAGGTAGGAGGCGCTTTTGTTTTCAGTTATTTCCTCCACCAGGATAAAAAGACTTTCTTAAGCATAAGCAGGCTCTTTGCAAACATCAGTGGGAGCCCCAGACAGTAAAGGTACAGGCAACAGTCAGGTATTGTATCCACAAAGCCTCTGTCCCAGCAGGCTATAGTGGGTTTCATGACTCCGTTGTGCCTCCCCCTGGCCCACTTCTCTGTTTGAAGTGGCTGGGCCCACTGCCTCCACCTGGAAACTGATAAGACAAACTCTGCGGGCTCTCATCGTTTTCCAATACAAACAGGGAAGCATGCTGTCGTGTTGTGGTACAGGAGCTGCTGGCTGGCAGGGTCTCTGAAGAATCAACATGGCCTCATTTCTGCCTCCTCTTGTGTTCCCAGGATGATTCTCAGCTCAAAACTAATAAAATCAATGTGTTCTTGTAAATTAACAAGTATAGACCCTCCCCACATTCTTAAAACCTGATGTGCCAATTTCAAAACAATCCCCTCTGCTCAGAAAGCAACTCTGCAGGGCAGTTTGCAGGAAGGGCACAGTCTAGAAAGTGGTTGTGACATTGTGGGCTTTGTTCATATTGAGGATAATTGTACTAGAACTCGCCCAGTACCACTGTGAGTCAGGCTCTGTACTTGTTATTGGGATGGGGCCTGAACATCATCTACTCTAAGGGACTCGGGTTAATGTTGAGGCTATTGAAAAGATGAATTGAACATGGACAGTGTGGAGTTAAAAACATCTGTCATTAAATGCTACAGACAATTTCTCAAAGATTTCCTTTTTATCTCTTTGCTAGGAAAAGGACATTTAATATGCGAATTACTATTCTGAGTGGCTGTAATTAGACTAGGCAAACTCAGCTGACATAGCCTTGAGATTTAGTAGATTCTTTTTCAGAGATCCACTGCACAAAGACCCTCAGTGGGATATGTGGGATCTGAGGAAAGTTTAGTTTTGGTTGTCTCTCTTGAAGTTCCTTGTTTTGTGTGTTCGGACTGAGGAGATTGTATCTGTAGAACTTTCTATACTTGTGTTTCAAGCAGATTTACATCAAAGCAGAAACTTCATTCCAAGTGCGAGTCCCCTGACTGCCAGGTTGCGTCCTATTATTTTGCATAATGTAGCCTCCCCTCAGAATAGCGTGGATCCTGTAACCATTTCCTCTGGGTCACTTGGAACATCTGGAAACATCTCCTTTGAGTCTGAAGATCCAGGAGGGAATGTTAGACGTGGAACTAATCAGTTTTCCGAGGTATGTGCATGTCTGAGACAACTGTCCTCTTGTGGCTTTCTTCATCTCTTTTTTTATGGCGCATCCTTTTACTGGCGTAACAGCCTCTAAGCAATGAGCGGTCTTGCAGAGATTTGCCCGGCAGCTCACCTCTCTCGCTTTCCTTTTGCCTTCCTGACTCTAGACCCTGGCAGATTTGGCATCCCCTTTGTGTGTACCACTTAGTTGGTCCCCAGGACTGTAAAGACACCCATCCTTGTATCTTCATCAAGGGGGAGCTCTGATTTGAAGAAACAGAGAGCTAATGAGTGAGGAGGTTGATGTCCTTGAGAACTTCCTATGTGACAGCTCCAACAGATTTATTCAGGTGCAGTGATCTCCAACCCTGGGTTCATTTCTATGTCCCCAGCAGGCATGAATAATCTTCAGCAAACAAACAGTCCTGCCAAAGGGCCTCCAACGGATCCTCAAGACACAGCAACAGTTCTTGGCTGCTGGATCAGTAAAATTATCTATTTCAAAACAATCCTAAAATAAAAAAAAAAAAAAAAAGGGGGGGGGGGGGGAGAAAAAGAAGCCAACAAAGGGGATAGTGTTGTTTATGTAACTTTTTTGTAAGGTCATAAAGTTTTTTCTCTCTGGGCACAAGCTGGGTATGGTACATGCTCCCAAGCCTGGAGAGACTGCTTGGGAAAGCAAGGGTCCCTCTGGGGATTTTCCTTTGCTAATGATTTTAGTCCTTCTCCCTTGTGATTTTTTTTTTTAAATGTTCTGCTTCAAAGGCTCTTAGGAACCATTGTTGGAGGCTGGTAAGTCATGCATTTCTGTTGTCAGGGCCCTCCAGGAGGACAAGCAGGGTGATCTAGCAAGCAGAACAGATTTGTTGTCGCAGATAGGAGGAGGGCTAAGGGCCAGGGTAGCAGTTACCCAGTTTGTGTCTCTTGCCTTGGCTTTGGCATGCCCACCCAGATTTGTTCAGCTCAGGATGAACATCTCACATTCTCAGAGTCCCTGTTGCTTGCTACCACTTGGCCATGAGTGGCCCCTTGTATCTAACCTGACAGTTGAAAAATTAATGTTCCCAGAGCTCACCAAAAAAAAAAAAAAAAAAAAAAAAAAAAAAAAAAAAAAAAAAGGAAGATATAGTGTGTTTTGGGGAGGTGAAAACTTCACCACAAACTTTTAAGAAACCATAAAAATGAGGGTGAAGAGGCTGGAGAGATGGCTCAGAAGTTAAGAGCACTGGCTGCTCTCCCAGAGGTCCTAAGTTCAATTCTCAGCACCCACATGGTGGCTCACAACCATCTGTAATGAGATCTGGTGCCCTCTTCTGGCCTGCAGGGATACATGAGGAAGAAAAATGTATACATAATAAATAAATCTTTTAAAAAATGAGGATGTAAAAAATGAAATCCACAAATAAGAAATCAGACTGCTTGCTAAGTCTGCATAATTAATTAATCCCCAGCACTGCATAAACTGTGTAATGGAGCGTGCCTAGTGATTTTAGCACTTGGGAGATGGAGGCAGGGGATAAGAAGTTCAAGATTATCCTCAATTATATAGCGAGTTTGAGGCCAGCTTGGCTACATGAACCCTTCCTCAAAAAACAAAAATTGAATTCTTATGTGTTCAGAAGGTTGAGCTCTAGAAAAAAAAAATCAATGATGAGAGAGAACAAAGGGCATGCAGCCGCCTTAAACAAGGAAGCCAACTGGTAGTCATGAAGGGATCTTTGTAAAAATAAGTATGTCAGTATAGTGAGGGGGGAAAGAGCAGGTCAGAGTCAAGCTAGGTACAGCTCATGAGCAAATTCTCTTTGGGTAGGGACTAGTGACACAAGCTGGCTATGTAAATGTGGGAGGCAGTGGGGTCTGCCTGCTGTTTGAGCCATCCTAAAATACCCTCCCCTGGAATCCTCTTCCTTGGACATCCCCCTTTATAATGTCTCAGGTAGTAGCTTGGGTTGGTGAGTGAGGATGGAGCAGCTAACTGAGTTTCAGAGCAGCTGGATCTGTTTGCTGTGTTCTGTTCATTTTGTAGCAAGTGATTTTGTTGACCTTGCTAGTTATCAGTGAGAAGCATTTACAGCACATTTCAGCCACAAGTCAAGGTCCCATCTCAGGTCAGACTTTGACTGGACTCAGCCTTGGGCCCTGTGGTGGTTTGAAAAAAAAAAATGGCCCACAAAGGAATTGGTACTATTAGGAGGCGTGGTCTTCTTGGAGGAAGTGTGCCACTGTGGAGGTGGTTGAGCATATATGAGGTTTCAGATAAATTCAAGCCATGCCCAGTGAGAGATACCACTTCCTGTTGCCTGAGCAAGTATAGGGCTCTCAACTCCATCACCATGTCTTTCTGCACTCTGCCTTGTCCCACCATAATAGTGGTCTGAACCTCTGAATTGTAAGCAAGCCACTCCAATTAAAGTTTTCCTTTATAAGAGTTGCCATGGTCATGATGTCTCTTCACAGTAGTAAAAACCCTAACTAAGGCAGGCCCATTAGGGATCTAGGGCATACTTTTGGTTTACTGTGTTTTCTTGGATTAGTGGGAGTTTTCAGATAGATCTTAAATTTTAATTATACAGGGAGACTCTTCAGGACACTGGGAGGAATAGGATTTGGGGTGAAAAGTCATCTGTTGGTTCAAACCTTTTGGAAAATCCTGACAACTTTGTAACTTCTTCCCCATTAGGAGGAGGGTCTACCTGGCTTTAAACCCATGGGCTTAAATGATCCTCCAGTTGAACTTCTAGAAAAAATGGGTCTATAGACAGATACCTGCTAGAATTCTATTGCTGTGATGAAACACTGATGAAAATCAACTTGGGGAAGAAAGGGCTTATTTAAGTTTACAGTTTGTAGTCCATCACCCAGACAAGGAAGGACAGGAACTGAAGGCAGGAACCTCCCCAAAATGAGCTGGGTCCTCCCATATCAATCATCAATCAACAAGACACACCACAGGCTAGTCTGGTGGAAGCATTTTCTCAGTTGAGGTTCCCTCTTCCAAAATGACTCTAGCACATGTCAAATTGACATAAAACTAGCCAGGGAAACACCCAATTTCTTGTTACTTTTCTGTTGCTGTGTTAAAAATGCCATGACCAAAACAACTTATAGAAGGAATAGATTATTTGGGCAGGGGGATAAGAATCTATCATGGTGAGGATACACGACAGTAGGAGCCAGAGACACAGCAAGGAAGTAGAGACTGAAGGAGAAGTGGGCCTGGCTTTTTCCTCTGGGAGTCTTCTCTCAGTGATGTACTTCCTTCTGCAAGGCTGTGTCACCTAAACTTCCCAAACAACGCCACCAGTTAGGGATTATGTGTATAAATATCCGAGCCCGAGTTTGAATATCTAATTCAAACCACTACACTTATCTGTATTAATCATGGTTCTCTAGAGTCACAGAACTTATAGAATAGATACACAGACTATATCCATAGCATATATTCAATAGAATATAAGTATAATGGTATTAATTAGAGTGACTTACAGGCTGCAGTCCAATGATGGCTAGCTGTGAATGCCTAGTCCAAGAACCTAGTGGTTGCTCAGTCCCATGAAGCTGGGTGTCTCTTCTGGTCTTCTGTATATGCTGAGATCCCAAAGAGATAGCCGCTAATGCCAGTGAAGGGATGGATGTGCTGGGAAGGCAAGGGCAATCAGGCAAAGAGTGAACCAACCCTTCCTTCTTCCATTGCCCTTAAATAGGCTTCCAGCTGAGGGTGGCCCAGATTAAAGGTGTGTGTCATTTTGCCTCAAGATCCAGATCAAAAACCTGTGTCTTTCAGCCTCAAGATCCAGATAAAAGGCATGTTGTCTTTCTGCCCCAAGACTCAGATCACAAGTGTACCCTCCATTTCTGGATTGTAGTTCATTCCAGATATAGTCAAGTTGACAACCAAGAACAGCCATCACACCATGTGAGTAGTTTTTATTTTTAGTTATTTTTTTTAGTAAGCATGGAAAACTGTTCCTTTGACTGTCAAGAAAGTTTCTACCAGGCTTTTATTCCCATAACCCACACTGACAATATGGTTGATCATAGTGCAGTGAGCACCTGGTTCATCCTGCCCAAGGATTGGGGCTTTGACAGGAGTGTGAGCATCTCTGCCAGTTGGAGATTACATTTGAAGCTACTCCACTGCTGGAGCCAATGGGACGGTTCCTGAATGAAGCAGAAATCCTGAGATCAGGAAGACAGGTGAGGTCTGGACCCTGAGTCCAGGTTTTATGACACTGACCATTCACCTAAAATTGCTAATATTTAATGTTAACGGAAATGAATGTCAAGTTTTGTGCTTCTTGTGTCAGTGGAGTTCATTGCTGTACAGGCAGAGTTCATTCATTATGGAGATAGACTGTGTGGAATGCTTTCCTTCCCAGTTTCATCTGCAGTTAAGTACTGTTACATGATAGAGGCTCTGCCACTCATGTATTCATTCCTGAGTCTGCATAGAGATGCTAAGAAGCAGGGACCCCAAGTGTACTTCATGTCTGAAGAAGGGAGCCCTCCCTGTTTAGACACAGCAGGAGCTAGGGCTGATATCAGGTGCCCAGCGGTTGAGGATGGTGGTGGAAACTAGAGAGACTTTGCCCAGCAACAGCAATCATCTCATAGCATCACCTCCTATGGGCAGCCTGGCATTCTTTAGTTTAACATTATTTTGTAATTGACCTTTTTAAAATTTAAATTAGAAACAATCTTTTTTTACATGTCAATCCCAGTTCCCTCTGCCTCCCCTCCTCCCCTGCCCTCCACTGATCCCCTATCCCATCCGCTTTCTGTTCCCCAAGGAGGGTGAGGCCTTCCATGGGGGATCTTCAAAGTCTGTCATGTCATTTGGAGCAGGGCCCAGGCCTTCCCCCATGTGTCTAGGCTGAGAGAGCCATAGGGAATGGACTCCCAAAGTCCATACATACTAATCCACTAACAGAGGCCCCCTAGCCTGCCCAGTCCTCCTGACACCATATTCAGGGGCTCTGGGTCGCTCAGAATCTGATTCCCCAGATGTCTGGCTGGGGTCCATGAGTTCCCACTTGCTCAGGTCAGTTGTTTCTGTGGGTTTCCCCAGCATGGTCTTGATCCCTTTGCTCAGCACTCCTCCATCTCTACAACTGGATTCCAGGAGTTTGGCTCAGTGCTTAGCTGTGGGTGTCTGCTTCTGCTTCCATCAGCTATAGGATGAAGGCTCTAAGATGGCATTTAAGGTAGTCATCAATCTCATTATTGGAGAAGGGCATTTAAGGTAGCCTCTCCACTATTGCTTAGATTTTTAGTTGGGGTCATCCTTGTAGATGTCTGGACATTTCCCTTGTGCCAGGTTTCTCTTAAACCTATAATGGCTCCCTCTATTATGGTATTTCTTTTCTTGTCCTCTATTCTTCCCCCAACTCAATCTTATATCTCTTTCATGTCTTCCTCTCCCCTCCTCTTTTCTTCTTCTCTTTCTCCTATCTCCCTCTCCCCTACCCCCATGTTCCAGTTTGCTCAGGAGCTCTTCTCCCCTTTCTCTTCTCCGGGGGACCATGTATGTCTCTCTTAGAGTCCTTGTTTCTTAGCTTCTCTGGCAGTGTAGATTGTAGGGTGGTAATCCTTTGCTCTATGTCTAATATCCATATATGAGTGAATACATACCATGTTTGTCTTTTTGTGCCTGGGTTACCTCACTCATAATGGTTTCTTCTAGTTCCATCCATTTGCCTGAGAATTTCAAGATTTCATTTGTTGTTGTTGTTGTTTTATTTTCCCCTGCTGAGTAGTAACTCCATGTGTAAATGTACCACATTTTCTTTATTCATTCTTCAGTTGAGGGGCATCTAGGTTGCTCTCAGGTTCTGGCTATTATAAATAATGCTGCTACGAACATAGTTGAACAGTTGTTCTTGTTGTATAAATGTGCATTTATTGGGTATATGCCTAAGAGGGGAATTGCTGGATCTTGTGGTAGACTGATTCCCATTTTCCTGAGTAACTGCCATACTGATTTCCAAAGTGGCTGTACAAGTTGGCACTCCCACCAGCAGTAGAGGAGTGCTCCTCTTTCTCTACATCCTCTCCAGTATAAACTGTCGTTGGTGTTTTTGATTTTAGCCATTCTGTCAGGTGTAAGATGGTATCTCAGAGTTGTTTTGATTTGCATTTTCCTCATGGCTAAGACTTTCTTAAGTGTCTTTCAGCCATTTTAGATTCCTCTACTGAGAATTCTCTATTTAGTTCTATAACCCACTTTTAAATTGGATTATTTGGTGTTTTTGTGACTAGCTTCTTGAATTTTTTGTATGTTTTGCAAACAGCCCTCTGTCAGATGTGGGGTTGGTGAGGATCTTTTCCCATTCTGTGGGCTGCCATTTTGTCTTGTTGACTGTGTCCTATACTTTACAGAAGCTTCTCAGTTTCAGGAGGTCCCATTTATTAATTGTCCATCTCAGTGTCTGTGCTAGTGGAGTTATGTTCAGGAAGTGATCTCCTGTGTCAATTTGTTCAAGGGTACCTCCCACTTTCTCTTCTAAGAGGTTCAGTGTGGATGGATTTATGTTGAGGTCTTTTATCCATTTGAACTTAAGTTTTGTGCATGGCAATAGATATGGATCTCTTTGCAGTCTTCTACATGCCAGTGTCCAGTTATGCCAGAACCATTTGTTGAAGATGCTTTCTTTTTTCATTGTATAATTTTAGCTTCTTTGTTGAGAATCAGGTGTTCATAGGTGTGTGGGTTAATATCAGGATTTTCAATTCCATTCCATTGGTCTATCTGTCTATTTTTGTGCCAATACCAAGCTGTTTTCAGGACTGTCTTTATAATAGAGCTTAAAGTCAGGGATGGTGATGCCTCCAAAGGTTCGTTTATTGTTCAGGGTTGTTTTGGCTATCCTGGGTTTTTTTTTTTTTTTTTGATTTTCCAAATAAAGTTGAATATTGTTCTTTCAAGGTCTGTGAAGAACTGTGTTGGGATTTTGATGGGGATTGCATTGAATCTATAGATTGCTTTCGGCCAGATTGCCATTTTTACTATGTTGATTCTACCTATCCAAGAGCATGGGAGATCTTTCCATTTTCTGGTATCTTCTTTAATATCTTTCTTTAAAGACTCAAAGCTCTTGATGTACAGGTCTTTCACTTTTTTGGTTAGCGTTACCCCAGATATTTTATGTTGTTTGTGGATATTGTGAAGGGTGATGTTTCTCTGATTTCTTTCTCATTCTGTTTATCATCTGCATATAGTAGGGCTACTGATTTTTTGAGGTAATTTTGTATCCTGCTACTTTGCTGAAGGTGTTTATCAGCTGTCGGAGTTCCCTGATAGAGTTTTTTGGGTCACTTATGCAGACTAGGTGGGTCCACTGTATGTAGGTGGGTCCACTCTATGCAGGCACAGGCCCAGAGAGATCCTGGGGTGATGGGGACCTTGGGCAGGAGTAGGGCTCAGGAGCCACTTATGTAAACTTTTATATCATCTGCAAATACTGAAAGTTTGACTTCTTCCTTTCCAATTTGTATCCCCTTGATCTCCTTTTGTTGTCTTATTGCTCTAGCTAGGACTTCAAGTACAATATTGAAGAGCTAAGGAGAGAGTGGACAGCCTTGTCTTATTCCTGATTTTAGAGGAATCGCTTTGAATTTCTCTCCATTTAGTTTGATGTTGGCTGTTGGTTTGCTATATATTGCTTTTATATTATTTAGATATGTTCCTGTTATTTCTGTTCTGTCCAAGATCTTTATCATGAAGGGACGCTAGGTTTTGTCAAAGGCTTTTTAAGCATCTAGTGAGATGACCATGTGGTTTTGCTTTTTCAGTTTGTTTATATGGTGGATTACATTGATGAATTTTCATGTGTTGAACCATACCTGCATTGCTGGGATGAAACCTACTTGATCATGGTGGATGATTTTTCTGATGTGTTCTTGGATTAGATTTGCCAATATTTTATTGAGTATTTTTGCATCGATGTTCGTGAGGGAGACTGGTCTGTAGTTCTCTTTCTTAGTTGTGTCTTTGTGTGGGTTGGGTACTAAGGTAATTGTAGCCTTGTAAAAAGAGTTTGGCAATGACCCTTCTGTTTCTATTGGGTGGAACACTTTGAGGAGAATTGGTATTAGCTGTTCTTTGAATTTCTGGTAGAATTCTGCACTGAAACCATCTGGCTCTGGGCTTTTTTTTGGTTAAGAGACTTTTGATGACTGCTTCTATTTCAATAGGAGTTATAGGTTTATTTAAATTGCTTATCTGTTCTTGATTTAATTTTGGTAAGTGATATCTACCCAGAAATTTGTCCTTTTTTTTTAATTTTTTAATTTTTTTTGTAGTACAGGGTATCAAAGTATGACCTGATGATTCTCTGGATTTTCTCAGTGTGTTGTTATGTCCCCCCTTTCATTTCTGATTTTGTTAATTAGCATGCTCTCTCTCTCTACCTTTTGGTTAGTTTGGATAAAGGTTTGTCTATCCTGTTGATTTTCTCAAGAACCAACTCTTTGTTTTGTTGAATCTTTGTATTGTTTTCTTTGTTTCTACTTTATTGATTTTAGCCCTCAATTTGATTATTTCCTGGCATCTACTCCTCCAGGGTGAGTTTGCTTCTTTTTGTTCTAGAGCTTTCAATTGTGCTATTAATTCTCTAGTGTGAGTATTCTCCAGTTTCCATGTGGACACTCAGTACTATGAACTTTCCTCTTAGTACTGCTTTCAAAGTGTCCCATAAGTTTGGATATGTTTTGTCTTCATTTTCATTAAATTCTAGGAAGTCTTTAATTTCTTTTTAAATTTCTTCCTCAGCCAAGGAATGGTGCAATTGGGTGTTATTCAATTTCCACTAATATGTAGGTTTTCTGCAATTTGTATTGCTGTTGAATTCTAATCTTAAAGCGTGGTGATCTGATAAGATACAGGGGTTATTTCAATTTTTTTGTATCTGTGGAGGTTTGCTATGTTGCCAAGTATGTGGTCAATTTTAGAGAAGGTTCCATGTGGCACTGAGAGGAAGGTATATTCTTTTGTGTTTGGATAGAATGTTCTATAGATGTCTGTTAATACCAATTGGGTCATAACTTCTGTTAGATCCTTTGTTTCTTTGTTAAGTTTCTGTCTGGTGGTTCTGTCTTGTGGTAAAAGGGGCATGTTGAAGTCTCCTACTATAAGTGTGTGAGGTTTTATGTGTGACTTGAGTTTTAGTAATGTTTCATATACCAATGTCGATGCCTTTGTGTTTGGGGCATAGATGTTCAGAATTGAGACTTCATCTTGATGGAATTTTCCATCTCTTTTGATTGATTTTAGTTTGAAGTTTAATTTGTTAGATAGTAGGATTGCTACACCAGCTTGTTTCTTGAGTTCATTTGATTGGAAAAATCTTTTCCAAACCCTTAACTCTGAGGTACTGTCTGTCTTTGAAGTTGAGGTGTGTTTCTTATATGTAGCAGAAGGATGGATTCTGTAGATCAACTGGGGGGATAGGTGTGTTATAATAATGTTAAATTGCTTGACCCATGATATAATTTATCATCCCATCCCTTAATATCTTTAGTTTCTTTCAATAATGGGTAATATTCAATGCACATATATTGTATTATTTTGTTAGATTTATTCTTAAGTGGTTCATGTGTTATTATTTGTTGACATATGATATTGTTTTTCAGTTTCTAACTGTTCATGGGTAGTCAATATCATTGCTTTTTAAAGTAAATCATATATTTTATCTGTCATTGTTATATAATACTATTTTAAGGTGTGTTATATTTTTTATGCTGTGGAACATTTAT